TACATACTTACAAGGACAGGTCAAGGAACGGTGAGATATAGATCGAAAAATAGGCACTTGTCAAAGCGTTCTTTCCAATGGTTTTCTCTCTTTGTTGTGCATGTATATTCAAGGTTATTATAAGAGATAAAACAGATAAAATCTCCCACTTGTGTTTACAATTGGATTTTGTAAATAAATCTTTGAAGAGTCAATCTCATCTTTGTTTGTCTTCTGTAAAACCTCTTTGAAAAGTTCCGATGGTTTGATTTTTTTAACTTGTGTCATTTTTAAGTTTCAAATTGGTTTGAGTGATGGTTTTAAGCGATAGAGATTCGATTGGAAGCATAGTCGGAAGAAGTCAAGCGTATGTGGTCAGGGTGCGTAATATTACCGGAACAACTGTCCGAAGGGTCTTCCATCGCTACTTACAGGAAGTTACGCAAAAAGGCATGGATCAGGTCGCCGTGTCATGTCCCATGGGGATGATAGTTTTGTTGTTTCGTATGTACTCGACATTTTCCTGCTGTATGCTTTACGCACTGTAAGGCCAATACTTTCAGAAGCTGGATTATTTGCGAGAAGGCCTGCCACTGGTCCAGTACTTATGACAAGGCACAGAACCGCTCTGTTTTCCCAAGAATCACATCAATTGGTTTGAGCAGTATTGGACTAAAACTTCGTTTTCGGAAGATCAGGGCTTTTATTTGAGGTCATCTGATGGTCGAGGGAGTCTTAGGAGAAGAACAGGAGACCCATATATCCTCGCAACATTTTCACACCGGATGTGGTGTTGTTTGGGGAGCCATTTCTATGGAAGGTACACAAAATTGATCTTCATCGAGAGTTCCCTAAAAGTTATACGATACATTGAAGAATGTTATCAGAAGAAGTTTGGAAAGAGCTTTCAATACTTTGAGTGGCCAGCAGGTAGTCCCAACTTAAACCCTATCGAACACCTTTGCCACAAGTTTTCAAAGAGGGTAAAAAGTCGCCCAGTTATGCGAGAAAATTTGCAGGAATTAAGAATGGCGCTGTTGGAGGAGTATGAAAATATTCTACAGCACTGCATTCAAAACCTCATAAAGTCGATGCTATGTCGAATGAAAGCGGTGACCAATGCCAGAGGAGGAAATAGTCCGTACTGAATTGAACATTTTCTTCATTGTTTCCAATTTTTGGCCAAATTGTTTCACTCATTTTACTTTTTTATTTACCTATAACTTATAATTTTCTTTAAAAATACTCCTTCAAAATCAAACATATGTGAACAAAAAAACATTTATGTCTTACTAACTCTCGCAAAACGACACATAACCGTGACACATCTACCCAGAAAACACACACTTTGAGTGAATACAAATACTTTGAATAAACCTAAGATTTCTATACTGCGTACATCATTGTATACATCTTAATGTTTTCGTATAATCCAAACACGTTTGTAAATCCCAGGCCCTGAAGATGATCTAAACAAAGATCGAAACGTTGGCACAACAAAGAAAATGTTTTTCTAAACTTATATATTATCCTCGGCTTCTAGTTGAAGAGTTTATTATTTTTTGGCTTAACATCACTGAAAAAAGTTTCATTAAAATCCGTGATCCCACGTTTATTTTTTGTTAAATTATTGTTGATGATGGGTGTTGGTCTGCGAGTCGGTGTACTCATCCGAACCGACATAGGGTCACTTATTGGGTCTGCTTCACTCGCGGGTTTGTTGAATTACTCAAACGCGTTCCTCACTGAAGATGGCGCAATGCCGAAACCCGATCGTTTAACAAACCCGCGAGTGAATGCAGCCACAATAAGTGACCCTATGCCGTTTCAGCATCAGTAAATTATTGTTTAGATATAGTTTATCTTTATTTTGCAATTTTATTTTTGGAAGTTTATTGACCCCACCTTTCCGCAGTGTTTGTTGGGTGTTTTGTAACAGGCGGAATTTATTACGAGCGATCCAATTTGGCAAGGGCGTCAAACAGGATGCATTTCAAAAGGAATTTTCTATTTTCAAGTCGATATTAGTGGACTTTTTTTTTAAATTTTCTACTTTTTCTGTTTGTTACCGCCCTGTCTTTCGTGATGAAGGCGTTAATTCGAAAACAATCCTACTTAGCCCTCTATGGAATTGGGCCAGAAATTCATAATCATAATAGAATCATAACAAATCATAATCGTCTCGGCGGGTTTTAATTTGAATATGCTCCCTTGCACAAAGTGTAGATTTGTAGATTTCAGCAATTTTTTTTGTCGTTGAAAGGAATCAATTCGGCGGTTGGCTGATTATTTGTATCGCGTTGCGGTAAATGTCCCCGGCCTCTTAAAATAACTTGTTGAGGAAAAGGCGAAACTAAAATAATCCGGTACTTCAATACGAGAGCCAAACATCTGCCTTAGGTTAAGGTCAAGCTTCAAATTATTTCATCATAACCACATGATTACTTCGTTAAATTATATTTACTGATTTTTTTCATAATATAATTGTAGGCTTCCGTGCACTTTTTACATCCTTTATTCAGCCAAAAGGTTATTATTTAAAAATGTAATATTGACCGGAACAAAAGACAAAATAGGTCGCAACATAAGGCTTTCATTTGTTTTCAGTTTGATCTTTATGTCTTGGTCTGCCTATGCTCACTGTCTTCTCGCCATCTTCAGTGAATGGATTAGATAAGAGTTCAAAAGGAGCTGTCGTCTTTACGAACTGCGCAACGCAGTATTGGTCTAACCAATTGTTGCCTAGAGCTGCTCATTAAGCTTAAAGTTTTTACCAGATACCAAAACTTTTTCAAGGACTCCTGTGGACTTCAAGCCTGGGCTTTTCCTCTCTCAGGAATAGGAATCTCAGCCTGTTTAGGCACAAACAGTCGACATTTCCCGCTGTTTCTTCTTCTTCCTGACTTGCTTTTGCTTCTCCAGAATTGTGAATCCAGTCAGCAGTTCAACTATTATTCTAGTTTTAGTAATATCCTTTAGGCCTGCTTTTCCTCTCCTAGAAGTGCAATCCCAGCTTGCAGAGGCTTTCTTCACACCATCGGAGGACATGTTCCGATGTTTCTTCTTCTTCCCGATCATATCCGAACAGGTTTGTATCTGCTGCTTCGAATATGCCTCCGGAGTCTGCAGTGTCCAGTCAACAGTCCAAATATCATCCTAGTCCTAATACGTCCTAGGTTTAGTAGTTTTGTTTTAATTCATTGTCTGGTGGATCTAGTGTTTTGGCAGTTTGGTTTCCACAAAAGTGTTCAGGGCCAGGAATACCAAAATGATCTGAAAATACCTATACTAGGTCCATCACCTCGCAGGCCCCAAGAGAAAAATATCACAATCTATTAAATTCAGTGAGATATTTTCTTGTAAACCGATCACTGAAGATGACGAAATGCCTGAACGAAATTGACAAACAGACCCAGAGAGGACAGGAAAAGAAAAGTTAATGACCAAGTGTTGAGGTTCACCCCGCGATCAACACGGAAAAACCTCACAAAATAGATCTTACAATTCGATCCTTACCGATCTTCATTAAGATAATCACACACACACNACACACACACACACACACACACACACACACACACACACACACACACACACACGCACGCACGCACGCACGCACAACACACGCACGCACACGCACACGCCACACACACATACACCCACCGAATATGGCGAAAAATCGTCAGACGATGTCGGTAAAGATCAAACTGCAGGTTCATCTCTCACCGCAGACCGCAGGAAATCTCACGATTTTTAATGTAATGACATGATGTATACAAAAGAAAGGTAGTTCCAGTTGGTAACGGTGATGGAATTTTCGTTCTCAGGAGCCTTCCCCTTCATGCCTCGCCAGAATGCACAGCACGTTCTTCATCTTAAGTGGTTAATGAAGGTTCATTTCACTTTCCTCGTATTCGCCGGCGAATTATTTATCCAAAGTTTTCATCTAGTCGTTTTCTTATAAATAAATTTTATCAATCACACTTGATTAACTCGTGCTGTGGATATTGATTTAAGACCTTCTTTTTTTTTGTTTTCCAGAGAAAAATCTGTTCTTTTAATTAGCGAACCACCATCTTGTCACTCTGTTGCCGAATAGATAAATAGTTAAACATGGTGTGTTAATCTAGTCGTTAATTGTATTAATTGAATCACTTGATAATGGCGAGAAAATCCGTAATTGAACCACTTTCGTTTAAATATATTCTTAGCGACCGACCTGAAGATTGTTCGTTTATTCATTTCATTCTCTGCTTATGCTCGCCGTTTTGGCCTTTTGTCGCAAACTGTCGAGCACAGCAACCGAACTGGACGAACGATGAAAAGTGCCAACGATAAAAATTGGCACAACCCTTTCATTAACTTATAACGAAAAATATAACTTCACTTCTTTTAATGTTACATCCATTTTTTAATCAACAACGTTTCAGGTTTTACATTAAATTTTAAGTTGTTTGTAAATTTTTCAAGTGCTCAATTTGAAAGAAAAAATTTGCTAAGTTGCTAAAAAGTCTCATAAATCACAAAAAGGTCAAAATAAAATTTCAGCATCAAGATTATGTACTTAAAAATTTTCAAAATGTATTGGACCAGAACGTCTTTTACATTTACGGTAGCCGGCCAAGAACGTTGATAAGAATAATGGTGTACACTATTTTTCCCATAAATGCTTTATTTTCCACTTTTTATTTTCAGGAAAAAAAGCATATTAGTATGACAAACAATTCCATGCGTGTTTAATTTTATTATTTAATCAATTAAACGATTTATGTGTAAAATGGCAAATAAATTATAAATAATGCTAGTTGTTTTGGACACGACGAAGTGTGGTGTAGGTTGAAAATATTGTAGGCTTAAAAATAAACACGGATAAACATTGAATAGTTACTGGGCAGGGAGAGAAGGCGCGACAAGGTTCGTTTTTAAAATGTTTTACCTCCTTTTGTCATTGGTGGCAGGATTTTTTTATGATACCCTCCAGAAAAAAGTTCAAATTTCACGCTGCTTAAATTGTGTTTCAGATAATAAAACTTGAACCTGATGGTATAGCTGGTCTTCTCAAGAAGAATCAAAATGGCAACTGACAATTTACCACTTCAGTATAAAATTATGTGTGCGGGTTCATCCGCTTGTTTCGCTGACATGGTGACATTCCCATTGGATACAGTAAAAGTACGACTACAGGTGAGTTACTACAATTTAAAAATTACGATTTTTAAAAATTAATAATTTATATAGCCTTGATTATCTGACAATCTAGATTTGCATTTATTTAGTAAATTTTATAACTTAATTTGACAAAAAAATCTAACATCATAACATTTATATGGAGAGAAATGGTGTTAAATGCATCGGATTAAAGTACTGCTATACTAAATCAGCTGTATAAATGGTATAAAGGATGGGACTAAGAGAGCTCCCTTGTGGGAGACTGGCTTGTATGCATATATGCATATATTTGTATAGGCTATAAATAATTTATTTATATAAAAAAAGACTTTTTTTTATATTTGGTTTTTTCCATTACTCATGAGCTCAATAGTGATGAAATACTATGTTGGTCCAAGTTCGAGAGTACAAAAACCCAGGGTCAGAAGAGGGCAACCTTCAATTTAACAGTACAACAGTACAAGTTTAATGAAGTTGATCCATGAATAATTTTTCAGATTTTTAAAATGACGATTTTAGCTTGACCGGCTCCAATCGTTCTACTCTTCCTTTTGTCCTTGCTGATTTTGTCTGGTAGACACATTTAGACGTTTTGCAATATTTTAAGGTTTGAAAAGAAACCAATGACTGAAAATGCTGAAATATATCTGACAGACAGTAGGGTAGAAAAATCTAGTTGCAACATTGTACGCACATGGAACTGCAGGGTAGACGATAATCACTTTTCAGTAATTATAAATAAAATTTTCTTTGATTTTAGATTCAAGGAGAGAGTCGAGCTCTCCTTAGTGTTGCAGGGAGTGGCATGGTCATTAGAGAAGGTGCGGTGCAATACAGAGGTCTTGTTGGAACTTTAACCACAATCGCCAGAACTGAAGGAGCTAGGTGAATACATTAAATTTTTATTTTTGCATACCAACAGTCTTAACTTTATTTTTATTACAGAAGCCTGTTTAATGGATTATCTGCTGGCTTGCAACGCCAGCTCTGTTTTTCATCTATTCGAATTGGTCTTTATGACAATGTCAAAGCTACTTATCAAAAACTACTTTTTGGTAATTAATTGCTGGAAAATAAATATGAATTGTATTTAATTTCATCATTATGCTTTCAGGTGAATCAACGAGTGTAAACAGCTCGTGTAGAGTTCTAGCTGGATTAACAACAGGGGCATTGGCTGTTTTCATAGCTCAACCGACAGACGTTGTTAAAGTTAGATTTCAAGCACAGTTGAAAAATGAAATTGGAAGCAGGTATAAATCAACTTTGGAAGCTTATAAAACGATCGCCTCAAAGGAAGGAAAAGCTGGATTATGGAAAGGTGCAATAATGCAGTTTAAAGAAAGAAAATAATCTAACAACTAATTTAAATGTGTTTTTAAGGTATGCTTCCAAATGCAAGTCGTAACGCTATTGTTAATGTCGCAGAAATAGTTTGCTACGACATTATAAAAGAAACTATCGTTACCAAAGGTTTTATGAAAGATGCAACCCCTTGCCATTTCATTTCAGCTGTCATTGCAGGTTTGTCGTTTATAAAAATCAATTTAAAACTAAAACTAAACAAACAAATGAATAATTTGTAGGATTGTGCGCCACAATAGTTGCATCGCCTGTTGATGTGGTGAAAACGCGTTATATGAATTCAAAACCAGGAACATACAAAAACTCCATCAAGTGTGCCTTGCAAACATTTTCTGATGAAGGAATATCAGCATTTTTCAAAGGGTAAATATTAAATTATGCTAAATATTGTGCTTAAAATGTGATTTTTTTTTTTTTTTGAGCGAGAGAGAAAAGAGATTTATATATGCATCAACTGTTGCAGGTTCACTCCTTCCTTCTTCCGTTTAGTTAGTTGGAATATTGTTATGTGGGTAACATACGAGAAGACAAAGGAATATGTTCAACGTTATCATGTTGAATGATAAACTGTGATATTAGGTTAAGTAGTATATATTGTCACTGATTTATTACATGTTAGACATACAAACATTGCTGTACATTTAAAACTTATTACTATTTTAAAATTTTTATAAGGAATATTTTTTACTAATATGACTGTATAAAAAAAGAAAAAAAGTGCTGTGAATTAGACCATTTGTTGTAATTATAACATTCCGATAAATTGTGTCATTAATTTTGTGATTATTTTACTATATCAAAATGAGGATTTTTTGTTATTTTAACAAATTGTAAATGCATAAAATAAATATTATTTCATATTTGTATTAATTGACCAAAAATTCAATCTACAATCCAAGCTATTGATGTAAACCAAACAAGATACAAATCTTTGTAAATGCTTTGTATTTTATCTTCAATACTACCCTCCACAGCAAATTTAAAATCCATTTATCCAAAAATTTAGCAAGAACCACACTAAACCTTCTTATTCCCAATAGTCTTCCCAAACCTTGCCCAACAGATCCCATGCCAATGACCCTATAAGGCATCTCAAGTGGAAGTAGCTACGTCCTCAAATCTATTGTAAATGCTCTATATTGTGTCTTCAATACTACCCTCCACAGCAACTTTAAAATCCCATCTGTCCAAAAATTTAGCAAGATCCACCTTTTTGAGGGATTGTGATAAAGTAGAAAAGAAGTAAAATTGGTGTAAGTATTCTATAATTACATCTAGTAATTTTAAATTGTAGATAATAATTGAATGTTTATTGAAAAAAAATTTAACATAGATTTTTGGTCAAATCATTGCATTTTACAAAGCCATGCATAGAATACATATTACGACTTCACAAACTTCATTTTAGTACAAAGATACTATACAACTCAAGCACTGGACAAAAGCATTAAGTATGAGGCAAGTTAAGAGATTTATAATCTCTCAAAAGGCTATCTTGGCCACTACCCTCTTAACTACCACCCAAGGAAGATGGGCAAAGCCGAGAAAGAAACCTGCCGACTTTGTCAGGAGAAACCAGAGACATCAGCAGATATCTTTTGCGAATGTGAGGAAATAGCTATAGCCACTCCAGTAAGACAATTCTCACACCATGAGAGGTGCACCTATGGACATAATCATAGTGATTCCACATGCAATGTACAAAAATGTACCTTACGCTTCCTTTAGAAACTGGTAGCAGTGCATAAGGCTCAAATTATTAGTATATAATATATTACAGTAAAATAAGTTATAAACGTCGATTAGTCATTTATAACTAAATTCTTTTAACATCTAGAACCTGGAATACAAAGCCAGTCTTAAAAACTTGACTAGGTCAATCTAGTTTCTCCAATTAAAAGAAGAACACCGATCCTTCTATGACAACTTTTCCTTACTAAAATACTTAATACTGTCTTAAAATAAGATATGGCTCGAGTAAGAGGACTTCATTTAATGTAGTCAGTGGCATAAGAAGATATATTTAAAGTGGCTTTTATCTGGTAGAGCTACAAGGAATGTGAAATTTTATGAGAAGCAAGAATTCAGATCAACTTATTATATCATGGATCAATTTGTACAGAGGTAAAAAGTCAGAAAGTTGTCTGTGACATTCTAGAGTTGGGATTTTAAAGAAAGGAATTTTATGAATTTCCCTAAGGAAGTCTATTCTAGTTACTAGTTCTAGTAGTTCTAGTTCTTCTAGGGCAGAAGGGCAATGAACAGGCTGATAAATTTCCAAGGTGTGATGAAGATATCTATTGGCCTTGAACACGTTGTGGCATACCAAACTCCCAAAAATTTACAACCATCAATGGATTAAACACGTTCTCACTCACTCTCTCAATCACTCACTACTCACTCACTCACTCACTCTTTTTCTATCAATCTCACTCACTCACTCTTTTTCTCTCAATCTCACTCACTCTTTTTCTCTCAATTTCACTCACTCATTCACTCACTCACTCACTCACTCACTCACTCACTCACTCACTCACTCACTCACTCACTCACTCACTCACTCACTCACTCACTCACCCACCCACCCACTCACCCACTCACTCACTCTTTTTCTCTCAATCTCATTCTCTCTCTCCCTGTTCATCTCAATAATGCTTCATTTGTTTCCTTTAAAATTCTGACTTCTTTAATTTTTTTCCAATTCCTACTGAGTTCACATTTGGGATAATAAAAAATAGGGACGATACTGTATAAAAAAATGGTCACGACCTTTCCAGGCCAAATTTTCTGATTAAGTCGAATAAACAATTTAATCTAATGTTAATAAATAATTGTCAATCAATTTTTTGCAAAAGTTTTTATTGTTAAGGAGGGAAACGTTTTGTGTGACCATGGTTGGCGGACTTGGGAGATAACAGTGGCCAGTGTTTCGTGACCCCTTCTAAAGTGGTTACTACCAATCTCATTTTCATACTATGTAACAAAGGTTTTCTCATTTTTTATTTTTTATTTTTTAAATTGAAATACATGGCTTAGGAAAAGAACGAAGAAATTCTTTTGTACAAATGTGTTTAACATCGGTGTTCGACGGTAGTTATTCGAAAAATGAATCTTCAAACTTTGTTTCAAGATTTCAATCCAAGGTGGGCACTTGTTATTTGATACGATTCGACCTAATTCCATTTGATTATCCTTGGCTGGTTTTTATTTTATAGCAAATTCATCGTCCACACATCGCTGATGATATTTACGGCTCTGTTCGCCTTAAAACTTGATGGATCCATCGACTGGTCCTACTGGACGGTCTTCTCTCCGATATGGTTCTGGAAATTTATGGTGATCTTGGGAGCAGCAGTCGGCAGTTATGTCTGGTGGAGATATCCTCATTTCAGGTGAGAAAAGAATTTCCTATTGTGACGATGATGGTATCCAAAGTCTGTCGGATGCATTTCGGCATTTTGCAGACTTCATTGCTCGACATTCCAAGATTCAAATACCTGGAAATCATTCAGACACAGTGATTGAAGTTGCCAAAATGTGTCTGACAAACTGAGCGAAAATGAGTAGACTAAAATGACCGGTAATGACTAAATTGGTATGTCACCCCGCAGAACACATGAAGAAATTTAACAATTGACCAATAATTCAACTGTTTTAAACTTTACCGGACTGATTTTTGAATGCTAAAATGCGTTCTGTAAGAAAACTTAAGTAGGCATTGCGCTATGTGTAAAGGTTGTTGTATTAACACTTTCAACCCGGAGGCCGATCGGCCGTAGACTACTTGCCTCCAGGCCCATTTTAACTTATTGGCTTGTCATTGGCTCCATGTGGCATCTGTTGGTACGGCTGTCTTGACAATGCTTCAATAACGTTAAATAAATGTTTGTAAATTGGCAAATGTTTGCATTTCCATGTAGAAAAATAATATTCCATCTTAAAAATCAATACAATAAGGTTAAAGGTATGTGTAGGTGGTTCATTTAAAGTCAACATTGTGATAATTGTTTTATTTAGAGCTTAAATTATATAATTTTCTTATATTTATACTATAAAAATATTATATAGGCAATTAAAAATAATATAAACAACTTAACAGATTAAATTAATGAATATGCATAAGACCATCCTAATAAATCTTATATTATAAAACAACTAATAAAAAAATGATACATAGTATACAAAAATTCTACAAAATAATAAATATAACACATTAAAACAAATAATATGTTAAAATATGTGTTATAAAAAAACAATTTAATAAAACTAGATTACCATTAACAAAAATATTTACATTATGCAGAATTTATATAATATAAAATAATAAAATAAAAGTATAAAATTAATGGAATAAATATTATATACCCATACTATCTATATATGATTTCTAAAATGTCACAATTAGGAATGGCAAAAAAAAATATTACATATTTTTCAACGTATAAAATTTATTAACTGAAGAAAGATAAAATTCTCAATTTTTGTAGTTACTAACTTTTCAAATAGTTTTAGTCTTATAAGTATCATATTGCTCTTCTTGGTCATTTTCGTGTAACTAACTAACGAGTTCAAAATCATTGTCAGGTTCTAATAGAGCACGAATTCCTTGATCGGTCATATTTTTCAAATCTTATACCATTTTAAATTTTATGAATTGAACGAAAATAAAGAGAGGGCCAGCGCCAGTTGGCGGCGGTCAGCTTCTTGGGCTTGCAGTACCAAGTGCCAAGTGGTGAACTGAAAGAAAAACAAGAAATGCGTTGAGGCCAGATGGTAGTAGCTGCTGAGGAAGATAGTCATCACATAGAGCTTTCTTAGGGAGTGCCGAAAATAACTGGTGCCACAAAAATGGTGGTCATTACGTGATCGACATAGTTATAGTGGTTGACACAAGTATGGAGTAGTCAGCAGTGGAGTTGACACTTGGTCATGAGTTAGAGTTTAGAGTTTAGAGTTAATGGCCAGTGCCCAATGATGTACTTGGGCTGTTACTGGCCAGTTAGAAGTTGGATTTTGAATAACATTTGTCGGTTGCAAAAATGGTGATGAGAATTTATCATTAAAAAACTGACTTATTTTGCAATTTCATGTTTTACATTAAATTAAAGCTATTTATTTATTTTCTTAGACATTTAATTGTAAAAATTTGCTGAGCTATCAAGAATTTTATGAATCATAAAAAGGTCAAAGGTTGTCAAAAAAGACGAGAACGTTCTTGATTCATTCAGATTAGCCAAGCCATTCAACATTGATAGTGATCGTGTCTTTTCCCATTTTCTTTTGACAATGGTGCTCTATTGTAGATTATTAATCACAAACTGTTCTTTCCCGCTTTCATTTTAGCATGTTCAATGCTGATTAATTTTAATTTTCGCTCTCGGGCTGCAAATTTTGTTAAAATTTTCTTATGTATTATCTGTCCTCTGGCTGGTTGGAATACTTTGTTTTTCCTGGAGGTCAGCCACATGGAACATGTTACAAAAGCCAGCTGTTAAAGCAAAGCAAATACTTTATTTATGCTTTTTATATAGAAAAATACTATCAGTAACAGTGACTTGTTCCCTGAATTTAAAGGATTTATTCACTGTTGTTGTTGAAAAGAACACCCTTAAAAACCTAAAACTGAACATATTGTTTTTGTTTCATTTTATTGTTTAATTATTTTTTTTAATCATTTGTGATCATGAATATTTGAAGGACAACAATAGCGCTTCATGTCATACATAATTTATGCTTTTGAACCAAGCAAACCAATTGCAGATGGTGCTTTCTTCTAAATCAGTGATTCTTCACCACTGTGCGCGGCACTTTTGTGTGTCGTCAAATTTTAGAAATGTATTTAGTAAAAATTATAATGCTTTTTTTTATTATGAGTAAAGTTTAAATTAACGAAAAGAACTTATATAAAATTATTAAATAATATAATTTAAAAAGAAAATGTTCAATTTGAATAAACATTAGATGCGATTATCCCATAATAGTTATGCTAAAAAGCTTTAAGAATATTATTACAATTTTCGACATCTTATTTGTGTGAATTCAGATTTTCAGTATTAACCAACATTAAAACGAAAAAAAGATCGGGACTGTTAAATGTAGAAGACGATATGAGAATAGCATTGTCATTCTGAACTTCGTTCAAATTGTGAACGATGTTCCAGTGAACCCGGCTTGAACCGTGACTGGTGCAATGGGGCCTTATACGACCAAATATAAATGAAATTATCAAAAAACATCCAGCTCAAATTAAAAGTATTCTTATTATTAACTTGTAATTAATCCCTTAATAAACATACTGTTGTTTTTGTAGTAATATTATTTTATTTTACATTCAAAATTATTATCATATACTATTTTACACAGTGTACTATAGGTAAGTAAACAACTTTTAAACTTATCTTTTTCTTTGTGTGCCACCAAATTTTGAAATCGTTAAAAGTGTGCCACAAAAAAAAAAAGTTGAGAATCACTATTCTAAATCATCACCATACACATCACAAATTTTCTTAGCAGTCTAAGCTGCAGTTTTTCCTTTGTGGTAATAAAACACCATTAAATGATAAAAGTATACTAATTTTTTTCTCCAATTTAAATGAGCAAAATACCTTGCAAAATAAGTGACTTGATAAAAACTGACAACTAAAATTACCTTGACTAATCCCTTCCTAAATGATGTATCCTAATTATTAAAATGGACAATATTATTATGCAAAAGTCAAATATGTTGTAATTTCTATGGTCTGTCCTTTAAAATGGTAATTACGGTTAAATTTATTTTAAACTTTTGTTTTTCAGATTGGAGGGAGAGGCTTATGTTCATTACAAAGCAATGCTTATTAGTTTAGCATTGCATTTAATTTTGCTTATGTTTGAATTGCTTGTGTGTGATAAACTACAGTCAGGCCGGCATCTTTGGATTCTTGTGTTTATTCCTCTAATATTCATATCAATTGTTTCAATCGCTGTGTGTATTTGGGCTGTTAAACATGACCGTTCATTTGAGGTATTCGATATTTTCATTAATAAATTTTTCTATGGCTTTAACTAACGTTAAATGGTTTTCAGCTTGAATTGTTCTGTGCTGTGAATATGCTGCAGTTTATATTTTTAGCTCTGCGTTTAGATGGATTTACTTCATGGAGTTGGGAAGTAAGTCGCATGGGATCCAGGGTAGATCGTAAAGATAAGGTTCAAGGAGTACAAGGTTGACTTTGTTTCTAGGTTGTATTCGTCCCACTATGGATAGTTATGTGCTTGTCTTTAGTAGGGGTTTTGTACACGATCATTTTCGCTGGGATTCTTTTGAGAACACCTCAAGTAAACGCCAGGCAGAGGAGGACATCTTTTAACTCTGCACTTGCCTATACATTCTTGGTGATACCTATATTAATATTCCAGGTAACGTTTTAAGATATTTTCCAGTTTTGTAAAATTTCTCAAATTTATTTACATTTCAGGTACTTCTTACGAACAAATTAGACGGTGATATATCAATGGCATACATTGGAGTGGCTTCGCCATTATTTTTAAGTTTTTTCACATTGATATTGATGTCATTTAGTGCCAAAGGAGGCAATAGATGTAAGTTTTTATAAATTTTAACCAAACATTGATGTTAAAATAATTATAGATTTATTATGTTGATGTGATTCATATCAGACTAATATTATATTAATTAAAATAATTAATATGGCTTAATAATTGTAAGGAGTAAGGCAAATTTGAATTTCCTACATCAAATTTTTGAGGAATATATAGATTCTTGACTTTGAAACTATTTCTAATGATTTACATGGATAACAGACAAAAAAACAGACTTACAATGCAAAAAATTATGGCTTCAACGATCATAAATTTGAGTTTAGCTTAGTTTATCCAAAATTACCATTTTGCAAATTTCTTAATGTAAGAAAACGGGCAAGGTTTAAAAAAAAAGTGGACTAATGTAAAAGGAATTCGATGATATCTAAATAGGCTAAAAAGGGGTCACAAATTGGGAAAATGAATAAAAAATCATAAGTTTTGAATGGATTGAAATAAAACCATTAAGTTTATGGCATTCCCCTCCACTTTAGATGTACTACCACCAATTTTTTTTCTTACACAACAAACATTAAAAATTACATTGCAAACATTTTATTTTATAACTGTGGTTCTAATTTATTTGCAAAGACAAAATTTATGCCATTGAGTGTAGCTTGTCAGGTCCTAAGTTGTTTGTAAAGGTTCCAGTGGATCGGTGGAGTCATTATAAAGTTATCAACAATTTTGTTATTTTTGAAACAAAGAAAGGCAAAAAATCCCTATTTTTTCTGACAAAAATTCGTATTTACAGGTTTTAAAGGGTGCTTTAAATGAATCCAAATTGGTGTTATCAAAAATATATATTTTTAACCTACTTTACTGGAAATGTGTTTTTGTTTTACTAACTTTTAATATATGTAATCTCATTTAATAAGATCTAGCATGTTATTTTCTTATTCTATGTCAAATAACAAATCAACTGATAAGTATAATAACATTCAAAATATTTTCAAAGTCCTGATAAAGGCAGTATATTTCTTGAAAGGTTGAACTGAGTATTTTCTTTCAAATTGGCCTTATCGCTGATTTCTTTATAAGATTATAGAAGTATAATTAAACATTGCTCTATTTAGAGGAATACTCTACGATTGTAGACCCCGTAGATTGTAGACATTCGCAATGTTGCCCAATTCATCTGGATAATATTTACAAAATAAGGCCATTAAACAAATCATAATCACACATAGTAAATTCAGTGCTCTCTCCCTAATCCGAACTTTGGTATTCCGAACAGTCCAACTTTTCGAACTGGAAAAAAATCAAAAAATTGAAATTTTTAAGGAAACAAATGTATTTGTTTGTTTTTATATTTGGGGAAGGGGGAGAGAGAATGAGTGAGTGAGAGAGAAAATGAAAAGGGAGTGTGAGAGTGAGTGAGTGAGAGAGTAAATGAGTGAGTGAGAGAGAAAAGGGAGTGTGAGAGTGAATGAGTGAGCGAGTGAAAGAGAGTGAACGAGTGAGTGAGTGAATGAGTGAGAGAGAAAAAGAAAAGGGAGTGTGAGAGAGTGAATGAGTGAGAGAGTGTGTGAGACTGTGTGAGTGAGAGAGATCAGATGAGTGAGTGAGTGAGTGATTGATAATAATCCCAATATTCCCCCCGCAGTAATTTGGATTGCTGAAGGATTTATCCATTCTCAAAATGTGAGGTCACATAAGTAATTTTAAGCATCAATATATGTAAATCATGAATTTTAAATTTTTTGTATGAACATTACAAACTTTTATAAATTCATTGTACATCTTTTTACATTTTCTTCTGTTTCTTCTTCAGGGTGGTTTGGCATTCGTAAAGATTTTTGCCACTTTCTCCTGAGCATGTTCCCATTTTTGCAAGAATACGCCAACATCGCTTACAGTACGAACAACCAGTCGAGTGGAGAGCCAGGGTCAAGAACAAGAGGAGATAAATCTAAGAAACAAATCGATGTAAACAAGCCAGTCGTACCTATAATATCAATTGAAACTCCCGACTAAATCCAATTCTTATATTCATGTTATAATTAAGAATTGTAGTATTTAAAAAACTAACATAAAAAATTAGTTATTTTTCTTACATTTGCTTAATGAATTGTCATTAACTCTCAGTACATCATAGACATTCCTATGAGAGGAAATTGATTAAAAAACAAAACAACAACCCTCAGGGGAATCATTTCTCCATGACAAATTCCATATAGTTACCCAATTCAACAATATTTGTGTCATGGTTATGTACTTAGTTTTCTATGTGAACCACTGTATTGACATAATGTACCATTCAAATGTTATTTTCATTGATAAGATGCCATTGTTGGTACAATACTTGGTAAGTCGGGTTTTATACATTTTCATGTTTGATTCGTGCCTGCCAGAAATTGTATTATAGTATTAAATTATAATCTGTAAGGGTCTTATTTAAGTGTATTCAATACAATCTATCACTCGACTAATTCTTTTAAGACTGACAGTGTTATCTTTATAATTATTGTTTAGCTAAATTTTGTCTTTAATATAGGTTGACATGAACAATTTTGATAAATTTTAATTATATATATGTTTTGTTTAAGCTAGTTATACTTCATTTTATTTGATCAGGCAGATTGGCCTTCATATATTATTGAATTGTTTATTAAAATTTCGAAAATTTTATTTAATTTGACCTTTTCAATGTTTATTATTGTTCAAAGAAATCTGAAAACATTCATTTCTAAAAAATGATATAAAATAAAAAAAAATCCAAGGATGTGTCACACATTCATTTTTTTGTTAATTGCTGTTTTATTATTTTATTTGTTTTGTATATACTAGTAGTTTTTTCTTCAATTTTATAATTACTGGAAATCAGTAAGCCAGCTATGTAGTGTACATCAGTAGAAACAATATAATAAAACAGGTTTTTCTTATATTGCAACAGCTCACAGTCCATTTAAAAATATTATGAAATAATAAATTCAACAGGATTTAAATCACCTTGTTTGATAAGTTTTCTTTGTATATGTTTAACAATATTAATTTGTACCTGTGTTTGAAAACAAAATTTACCTTACTTTGTACATGTTTACATATAAATTTTTAATAACAAATGTACATATATCTGTATATAAGTGTATATTATAAGACTATTAACAACAATATCAATGTTCTAAATTTGTTAATATTATTTAACTTTTGTAAACAAAGTTAACGCAACAGTTTAGATAAAAGAAACAATCTATTTTCTAATTTGAATTAAAAAACCAATTAAATTGTCAGATTTATTTTTACATTTGTTTTTATCTAAATTTTACCTATTTTATAAATAAATGACCAGTTTTATCACAGTATTTCTATTGTATAAATGTACAGCATAACCCAAACTTGTGATGCTCATATAATATTTTATATATTGTATTGTAAATCCTTAATATAAAGTCTTATTGATTTCTAAAGTTTTATTCTTTATCAAATTTGTTTTTGTTATCCCATGACAGTTATTTAATTTAAGTATAAGTTAATGTGTGGTTTTTAGTGATCGTTAGTTAATTATTTGGAGATCGTGAGATGCGATCTGGTGTGATGTAGGTTTTAGAAAAACATTTACTTTATCACGCAAACGTTTCGATCTTTATTGAGATCATCTTCAGGGGCTGGAATTTATAAATATTGTTTAAATTATGCAAATATAAATTATAGGATACGAAAAAATGAATTTATACAATGCTAGAAATATTAGACTCAATCAAACAGAAAACAAACCCTTTGAGTGAGTATAAAATTTCTAGCATTGTATAAATTCATTTTTTCACATCCTACATATATTTGCATAATTTAAACAATGTTTATAAATCCTAGGCCCTGAAGATGACCTCAATAAAGATCAAAACGTTTTTCTAAACCTACATCACACCAGACCGCATCTCACGATCTCCGTATAAGTTAATGTGCAGTTACTGCTGCCCCTGTCAACTCCTCCACTGACCCTCTTGCTCTTGTTGGGAGAAATACCAAGAACTGGAGGTCTTGGCAAAAGTTGGTTGATGTCTGCATACCCGGACACAATGAAAAAGCAGACATGGCGACTAAAGCAGGGACTTGGTCCCAACTGACCAAGATCCACCCGCCTGATGGTGTAAATGCAATAAAAAACATGATTTAAACAAAGTGGCAGTGTTGGACCACTGCCAGGTGATAGGTGTGCCTTGGAGGACCTGACTTGTAGAAGAATGATCATCCTTACCAAATTAAGAACAGGAATGCGACGTTTATACATGGAAACTTACTTTTAGGCTAAAGCCCACATAGCCAGCATGCCGTGAAAGGTTGCCTCGATGTGTCCCACCTAATTGAATGATACATTTACTTGGCTCCATATAGAGAGCGTGTAGGAATGCCACCTAATATGAGGATTGTGCTTCAGGACGGCAGCAAATATCTGGGTCCCTTGTTCTGGGATTTGGAGAAAACAGGGTTTTGTTGTGTACAGTAACGATTGTGTTTATAGAATGTGTTGAGAGTGAATGAATTTATTTGCTTGAATGTATAGGTGAGAGAGCTGATGTCAGAATATTGAGAACCCATCGGCACTCAATTATGTTAGTTATATAATACATGTAGAGGGTGATGGAGGAATATCGAGTACTCTACCTCCCTAGTTGAATGAATGGTATGTAAATAGGAGAGAATCTAGAGAATGTATTTAAGAATGAACGTGACGGGTTTGGAACTACATATATTATATCCTAGATTGACCTAGCAGTTGACAGCATCCTCCTCGGAGCCGAACCCCCTTGGCTGGACGGACGAGATCATTGGCTGACCCTGGACTGCCAACACACAGGGTGGGTGATTCTCGGGACCTGCCAGTCATTTATTCGAATAGGGATATCATAGACTCTGCCATGTTCTAGCATAATTCTCATTGACCAACACATTGACAAAATTATCTTTCTCTTCATACCTGGGCTTTGGTCCAAAAGTGAGTGTCTGTGTTATCCACATTGTCTGGAGGCCACCTATCAATCATGCTTTTGATGTGCAAGAGCTTCTCGGTCGACCCAGTCCACTGATGCTGCCAAATATATTATTGTAGTACTAAATACAATCAGAAGACAGATGGAAAACAAAATGAAGTATCATTAATCATAAAAAGTTTAAAAAAGAATGGATCGAGTACTAAACCCTGAGGAACTCGAGAAAGGACAGAATATATTTTGGACACTAAGAATATTAATTTGACTCATTGACTTCCAGATTCATCAATGAGAAGAAAGTTGGTTAATCATTTCATGGTCAACCAGAGAGAATATGTTATATATCTAAAAATGAGGAAGGGCCATAAATATATTTTTCCTGTTGTTTTTCTATGCTATTATTGGAACGAAAGCATTTATTAGCGAGAATGGAGTGGCCAGACCCCTTGTTCACCGAGCAATATCCAATACTTGGACAGGAATGAATGTTTCTGTTGTTCATTGGCCTAAAGAAAAGGATGCACGAGAAACAGTTCTTATTTACGTAAAAATTCTGAGTAAATGTATTTAATTATTTATCTCTGGGGGGGGGCGAGAATATAATTTATTGGCATGTGGCAGGGAGTTTTTCCCCAATCACCCCGAGCAATATCGAGTATTCTGACGCAGAGTGAAGTTTGGTATGTGAATGTCATTTATTAGCCCGATAGGGGGAGAAATCCCTACTTATCCCCAATTACGCCGAGGAATATGAATGAGAGACATAAAAAAATTCAAAAACATGGAATAGTCGAAGAACTGTGAATGAAGTTTCTTGTGCGAATGTACATTTATTAACGCGAATGTGGGGGGGGGACGTCTTTCCCAATGTGTGAATAAAAGGACTTCTTCTCCAATCGCTTTGAGCAGTATTGAGTTGTCGAGGATCTGTGAAAGAAGTTTGATGTGCGAATGCAAAAGTAATTTATTAACGAAAATGAGGGAAGACTTCTTTCCCAATGTCCGAGGAATATCGAGTGCTCTGGGGCAGTGTGAACGTAATTTATTAGTGTGAATGTAGGGCTTTCTTCCGCAATCATCCCGATGAATATCGAGTGCTCTGACAGAGAATGAAGTCTGGTGTAAGCGTGTAATTTATTAGCGAGATTGGATAAACATATCCCCAATCATCGCGAGGCTTATCGTGTTCTCTGGGGCACTATGATTGCTAACACTTATTTTTAAATGTATATATTTTTATTATATGTGTAAAGTTTGTCGAGGGTGGCAACAGGATAGAAAAACGAAAGAGTCAGTGACTATAACTTGGCGGCAACGTTTGAAAAATGAATTAGAAGGAAAAAATGTGAAAAGGAGAAGATAAAAATAGGGGGATGGCAATGGCAAATATAGATAGCCAGCCATAAAACTATTCACAATATAATACACTGACAGGCAAAAAATTCCACCCAATTGATTTTCTTTTTCATTTTCTCGATAAAATAAAATTCTGCCCTTAATATGTCTCATTGTTTTTACGAATAAATATTTGATTATGCTGTGTTTTAAATTGGGAATATCAATTAGAGGTGAAAACGCTTAATCCTTAATCCAAAACAAGGATAAAGGATTTTTCAATGTTTAATTTTTACGGAATTTAAAATGTTTATTCAGTCTCATTTGAATTTTGAAGCAATAAACTGTTTAGTTTTCATCTTTGTTTTCTTAAGTGGAATTTTTAAACTTAAAAATGCCGCTTAATGCTTAGGATGTTATGCGTAGTGTGGCACTATTGATGATGGTCGTTCCATCAGGTATGGAGCTGTTGCCATCGTAGTTCCCTGGGTCCTACCATAGAAGGCCCCACAGGATGACCGTTTTTTTACTTTGTGCATTTTGCGAAACCGACAATGTTGTTCAAGCGATTCATCAGCTCCAGGAAGTTCGAGGTGTCCAAATTTCAGAACACACTGCTCTAAGAAGATTAAATCAGTATGGACTGATGGCTTCTCGCCCTGTAAGAGGACCAGAATCGATCAGGACATACAGGGTTGCACGGCTCGCATTTGCCCGAGAACACAGCCATTGGTCATTGGACGATTGGTCTGCTGTACTTTTACAGATGAGTGTAGATTTGCTCAACGATCACCAGAAGGGCGTGAAAGAGTGTGGAGAAGGCGAAATGAAAGGTACGAGACCTGTAATTTTTCCCAGAGCCAACCTTTTCAACGTAGCTCAGTGATGGTGTGAGAGGTTATTTCAATGGAAAGTTGTACACAGTTGGTTGTTGTTCGTGGAGGGTTTTGACGGCCACTCGCTATGTAGATGAAATGTTGGAACATCATGCGTTGCCTATCCTCGGTGAAATCAGCGACATTCCTATTCTAATGCACGATAATGCCCGACTACATGTCGGTCCCATAGTACAAAAGTACCTTCACAAGCATAACATCAGAGCCTTAGCCTGGCCGGCCCGTTCTCCAGACTTCAACCCCATCGAACAATTAACATCAAAAGAGGAATAAAAGTTCGTCCATCACTTCCTGATACACTCCACGGTCTTGAAAGGACTCTTCGTGAAGAATGGCTCTCGAGCAAAGAGACATTTCCAAACTGGTAGAAAGTATGCTGAGGCGTCTTCGAGATGTAATTTTAATCAAAGCAAGAGGAGGAAATACGCGATATTGAAATGTCAATTAAAAATCTAAAACAATTTATCTGTACGTCTTTTTTGTATTTTCCTTAGAAATTTAATTTTTTTAAAACTTTTATAGACAAAGAATCAATTATTTAAACGTTAAAAAACGTGAAACTGATTGAGATATTGTAAAAATATATACAAATCAAGTTATATTACAAATGGGATTTTTTGCTTGTCAGAGCATATACTCTTATAAAAAAATATATATTTTTTCTAAGTCTTTGTCGGACATTCATTTCTAACTTTGCAACACATTTGGTTTTGTATTGAAATACGTGCGAGAAACAATTACGAAATCGCGCCCTCCCGCTCGTACTTGGGCCGTTTTCGAGGAAAGGCGTTATTTGCCCTCACTTCATTGTATTTAAGGATCAAGGGTGGTCAAATATTTATATCCGGGTGTCATAAATAAAGAACACAAGGGCCCATGAGACTTCTTTCCGTACCTGAACAACGGCGTTGAAGTTACCTGCGTTGCGGGAGGGCAGGGCGGTTCTCCCCGTCCGTGCCGAGAGGTGGCCGCAGACGGGCGAAAAACGACGAATCGAGCCGCGACGACGGCCGGATTAAAGAAGAAAAAAAAGAAGAAGAAGAAAGCTTCTTGCAACTGGATGCGATCGTCGATACGGCAGATGGCGCTCAAAACGCAGAAGAAGAGAAAGGCTCCTCTGGAAGAAGGCACCGTCTCAGTAGTGGGTCGTGAGTGGTGTTGAGTGCTTCTCTTCGAAAAATCATGGCGCTTATCCTCTGGTTCTTGCTGCTTACTGCTTCTTCGTCGCTCGCCCAGAGCCTTCCCGCAGCAGGTGAGCAGAAATTTGAATACCTGCTAATAAACTATGCCTACTGTACTAGAACATAAACAGACAAAAAAATATATCGAAAAATCTACTGAAGCTGCATCGTACCGATAAAATTACAATCTGAGTTGAATGAACGTCTTTTTGCACGTTTACCAAGAGTTATACATAAATATAAGACAATCTTCAAAGTTCAAACTTCAAAAAATTTCTTGAGATCCCATTGAAAATAACTCTTCAAGATTATTTCTCAAAATCCCGATTAAATTCCCATCGTGCCCGATAACAATGCCAAACTTGACAACAAATTGGAAGATATGAGGCACAGGTTGGAACACATTATTCTTTTTATACCTACTTTTTTTTCTTCTTCCTTTTTTTGGCCCGGTGGGCTTTACCTGGCGAAGCCAAACAATGGGTATCACTTGTTTTGATATCCGCTTGACGGATTCGTCTCGACCCGTCAATCGGCTGTGATTATTATTCGAACCGCAGTGATACTTGCACATTTCTCGACGCTCAAGATGAATTTGAAAAAGAGCCGGTTCGCGTCAAACCAAATCAGGATTAGAAATTTTAGTTTTGAAAGTACAAGTAGTCCAAGCCTTACAGGCCTCCGTTTCATAATTTTATTCGGGTGTAAATTAATTAAAATATAAAAGAAATCTCCATAAAATTTCCTCCTGCTATATGGTCAAGTGAAGGGGCTTGGACTTTCTCCAATGGAGATCCGCTTCGTATCTTTCACCCGAGCTTTTTACTTCACTCTTTAGTATAAACTTAGGAAAGAAATCCCCCCCCCCCCTTGAAACATCCAAGAAAGTCTTGAACTTAATTCCGCACTTGTACAATATTACTGCTGTGCTTACAAGTTATATCAGAGCAAGCATAGCAATGTTTATTTGCCTATTAGATTAAATTATGCATTTATTTTATATACTTAGAAAATCAAACTGGACCAGAATGATCAAGAAATTAAGTGTTCTTACGATTTTGTTTAAACACACTTATTTCTAAATGCATTTTTCCCATATTCCAAAACAAGTCCTTTACTTTTCAATTAATAAATCCTTTAATATATTTAGAAGTTGTATACCATTAAAATTTTCGTTTTTGGACATTAATCCAACGATTCCATTTAAATACTGGAAGCTGTGACAATTTGGAATTCCAGATTAATAAAATATCTATACACACGTAAAAATGAAAACAATAATTCTTGCACAATCCTTATATGATAGGGGAAGAGGGAAATCCCATATGAGCACAGCTCTTCTTAGAAAAACCTGTTTTCCCCAATGTATTCATATTCTAAAAAAAAAATTTAAAACTTTAAGCCACATGTATTGGTCTAGGTAAGCATGTCTAAGGCACAGTCTTCTTAAAAGCTGATTATTTACAAAGAGAAGTTACAGACGTAGGATTTTTAATGAAATAAAAGAGCCACCATTTAAATAGGAATTTTTATGCTAAACAAAAAACTTAAAAAAAATGTTCATTTTTGGGCTAGATGACAATAGATTTTCTCCAGAGTCCTGTTGCACTTAAAGTTTCCATAACTCCTCTGGATTTTAACCAAATGCAAGATTCTGACAGCAGTTGGAAAGCTGGATTGCACTTCTTTCAGCCTATGTCAATAATGTTGAAATGTGTCATTAAAAAGGGTGAAAAATAAGGACGAAATTAATAAAAAAAATCCCAAACGCCGAGTTTGTGTTGTTATGTGTAGTTTATAGGGCACTAAATCATGTAAATTTTACGATAGATCTATGGAGTCGTTTCAAATTTATAACTATTTTTGTGATTTTCGCAAAATCGGAGTCAATTTGGAAGGCGAACAATATTATTTTTGCATTTTCTCAAAATTTTGTTTATTATTTGAAGATCGTGAGATGCGGTCTGGTGTGACGTAGGTTTTAGGAAAACATTTTCTTTATCGCGCGAACGTTTCGATCTTTATTGAGATCATTTTCAGGGCCTGGGATTTATAAACATTGTTTAAATTTTACAAATACATGTAGGATGTGAGGAAAAAACACACGTCATGTCACATCCTACATGAATTTGTAAAATTTAAACAATGTTTATAAATCCCAGGCCCTGAAGATGATCTCAATAAAGATCGAAACGTTTGCGCGATAAAGAAAATGTTTTTCTAAAACCTACGTCACACCAGACCGCATCTCACTAACTTCAAATAATCATTTACTAACGGTCACTAAACACCACACAATTTTGTTTATTTTTAGAGAAAAATCAATTCGTTTTAGACATCTGGTTCTGCTGGGAGCAATGTTTCTTTCGTCCGATGCCCGTTGTTTCACTAGAAAGTTCTTAACTCCTTTGGGTTTCAATTAAATTCGATGTTACGACAACCGTTGTAAAGCTGGCTGTATTTTCTTTCAGACTCTGTTGATAAGGGTAATATTTTATGTCATTTTAAGTAAGAAAAAGGCGGATGAAATCAACAGAAACACCTCGAATGTGTTATTTTATACCTTTGGTCCTAAATTATTTACCGAGACGATGTTTGTGCTGACAAGTGTAGTTCACGAGTTCGAAACGCCACCTAACGTTTACAATAGATCGGTCGAATTTACCACCATTTTGGTGATTTTTGAAAAAAAAATTGAAGGCACTTGGAAGGCGAAAACTTTAAAGCCCGGTCTTCCATTTAAAATATTCATAACCCCTCTGGGTTTTATTCAAATTCAATGTTGTGAGAACCGTTGGAAAGATGAATGTCCTTTCATTCAGATTATGTTGACAAGGTTTATATTTTATGTTAAAATAAATGAGGAAAATTAGAATGAAATTTGCTGAAACACCTCAAACCTTCAGTTTTTTAAATCTCCAGTTCTGATTGGTTCAGGGACCAAGTTTGTATCATTACGTCCAATTTATGGAGGCTAAATTGTGACATTTTTTATGAAAGTCTATATAAGTTTTATTCTGGCTTGGGAATTAGCTTTAAAATAATCATACATGCATGATTAAGCTGGTTATGAATTTTCCTAAAAGGAAGCTTTTTAGTTGGTCGCAGTTTTTAAAATTAAGTATTTATGACAATAAGACTTAGTTAATTTTTGTAATGGTCTGACTAATTTTGTGCCAGTAGTCGCGGTTATTCATTAAGTCCTAGTTAATTGTTTTGGTAAAAATTATATTTATGGCGGTTGAGCTTATAGTTATAATTTATTAAAGATCACCCGTATACCATTTTCAATTCAATTCTTTCTAGTAGCAACATTATTTCTAGTATTTGATGTAGAAATTACCATTATCATTCCTATAATTATTACATTCAAAATAACTTCCACAAAAACATGACTTTTCATGGCAACAACATTTATTATTATCAAAAGTATAATTCAGATTCTCCCTCAGCAAAATCGAAAGGAGAACGATTGGTTTCTGCCAAGCAAGAAATATATGTTAATTGATCTCTTGGGTAATTTCGGAGTTATAGCCATTTTTTTTGTGATTTTCGACAATAAATCGCAGGCTGCAATATATTCAAATAATTTTAGAAACGAAATTTTTGAATGAAAAAATATTTTTGTTTTTTACAAAAAAATTGTATTCAAGGGGTTTTTAGAACGCGGAAAACAAATATTAGGATACAAACTTTGTTTCTTGCTAAACAAAAACACATTTAACCTACTACTAAATCGCTTTGCCACACATGTTCGAGCCGATCTGTTTTTATACCAAGGATATATACTGGAGTATATTAAATGACATTTGATATATAAAAAGATGCAAAAACCAACTGACGCTTCCAATAAAGTAGGCCGAAAAAAAATGTATTAAAAAAAACATCATTCTTCGATTTCCTCAAAACTTGCTGTTGAGGGGTCTTGAAGGATCAACTTTGTTTCTTGGTACAAAATATGCAGAAATTATAGACATTTTCGCGCTGGATTTGCCCAGGAGCTTTTTTAATTTCCGATGTGTTTTTTTCCATTTAAACATTAATAACTCCCTTGGATTTTATCCCAAGTGCAAGCTATTATAACGATGTAAAACTAAACGATTTTTTTCAACAAGTTTAGATTTTATGTTATTATAGTGAGAAAAATGAAGATGAAGTCAACAAAACGACTCAAATTTAATGTTTTAATTTTTATCTCGGTTTTAAATTTTTACGGAGGCCAGTTTGTTCAATTGCGGATAGTTTGTAAGACCCAAAACAGATTTAAAGTTTCATGTATATACATTTTATATATATCGTTTCAGTTATACATTTTTTTGTAATTTTCTATTAAAAATCGAAGGCGAATGTTATGACGGAATTTTTTTTTTATTTAATCAAAAATTTGTATTCGGGATTTTTTATGGATGTAAAGTAACAAAAAAACAAATATCAACTTTTGTTGTTGTTTCAGTTTGTTACTGAAATTTTTGTACCTAGTTTGCTTAGGCGCTAGTCCACTATGTCAGAATATAAAAAAATAAAATGAAAATATAATAAATAAAAATGTAATAAATATGGCAGCTAGTATAGGATAGAAGGAATACATAATTTGTAACCGATCGACGTTGCAAACTAGGGTAAAATATTTCTTTTAGCAAAATGCAAAGTTGATATTAGTTGTCCACACTACAAAAAACTATTTTTGGGAAAATAAAAAAAATATTTTTTTCTCTTAAATTTTTCGCTTACGATTTTTTTCGACAATCACAAAAATGACTATACCGATTTTTTGGATGTAAAACAACAAAAAAACAAATATCAACTTTGCTTGTTACTAAATTTTTTAACCTAATTTGCTTAGTCGCTCGGCCATTATGTCAAAATATAATAAAATAAAATAAAAATATAATAAATATGGCAGCTAGCATAGGATAGTAGGAATACATAATCTGATCAACGTAACAAACTAGACTAAAATATTTCTTTTAGCGTCTTGCAAAGTTGAAAGTTCAAGTTCTCTGCACTACAAAAGACCACGATTATACATTTTTTGGTAAATAAAATTTTTTTTTCTTAAATTTTTTGCTTA